ACACACACACACACACACACACATATATATATATGTGTGTGTGTATATGTACATTTTAGGGATGCACTTTTTAAACTTCCAATCCGATCCCGATACCTAAGTCTGAATATCGTCCGATACCGATCCAGTTCCGATATCATGATCATCATTGATTTTATACGAGGCTGTAATAATCTCCTCTCAAGTACAATTTGTACAAATATATGCATGCATGTCCAAAAAGGCAACTTGAGGTAAGTTTTATTAATTTTGGATAAGTTTTAAAGTTAGAATTAAATTCTGCTAACACAAAACATGTTTCTTTTTATTCCTAGCTTTAAAGTGGATATTAAAGTGATTAATTTAAGTGATTGTTTAAAGTTGTTTTATATTTTTTTAAATAAGGGGCAGATATAATATTTTTTTTCTTCTTTCTGCACTCTTTTCATTCAATGTTTTCTTTTTCATGTTTTTTTTTTTTTATTTTGTTTCTTTTAAATGAATATATTAAATTACATTAAATGTTAAATGGCTTCAAACACCTGCTAAGTTCATGGCATAAACCAACAGACTTGTTTCCGTTTTTAGTATTTTACATCACTTTATAATGTAGCTGTTTTTGTTTTTAATATCATTTTCAAATCATATGTTTTTTATGAGCAGGTTCTTGGTTCAAACCCCGGTCCAGGGGCCTTTCTGGTTGGAGTTTGCATGTTCTCTTCGTGCATGCGTGGGTTTTCTCCGGGTACTCCGGTTTCCTCCCACAGACCAAAAACATGCATGTTAGGCTGATTGGTAACTCTAAATTGTCCCTAGGTGTGAGTGAGAGAGTGAATGGTTGTTTGTCTCGTTTGTCTCTATGTGGCCCTGTGATGGACTTGCAAACTGTTCAGGGTGTACCTCGCCCCTCGCACAGTGATTGCTGGACATGGGCACCAGCGACCCCCGTGACCCAAAATGGAATAAGCGGGTAAAAGATAATGGATGGATGGATGGATGTTTTTTATGATTGTCTACTGTTGTACTGATAAATATCTCCTGGAGGGTAAACTATATCTTGGCTGCAAGTATCAAGCTGAGAAATCCTTCGTTTTCTACAAATGATAGTGGTTGATCATTAATTATAATGAAGTTTAACAACTTCTCTGTAAACATTTGAGCTCCGTGGTTTCAGCGACGTCTACTTCTTGTTCAATCTGAAGCAGGCAGCCTGATTTTGGGGCAGCCGCGCTCAGTCTGTCCCTCCTCGGAGACTGAGCGGGGCAGATTGGACGCGGCTGGCCGGGGTCGAGTCGCCTCTTTCCGGTTGAGCAAAGAGCAGCGCCCCACGGAAGCCACGAAGCTCGAATGTCCAACGCAAAACTAACTTTACCGTGGTTTAATGTGGCGCTATGGCTCTGCAGACATTGAACGTTGCTGCATTGCTTTGTGGTGTTTAGTGTAAAATACTTCCACACAGCGGACATGTTTAGATGAAAAGTTGGTTAGCTGTTAGCCACAGTGCTGCTAACTCAGTCCTCACATTGTAGCTGGCTGCAAACTATGAACTGGATTTCCTGAATGTGAGGCGGGTCTTATTACTCTGGGTTCATGAGACACGCCGCCATTCAGGAAATCCATTCCATAGTTTGAAGCCAACTTGCATCATGGATCGGAAATATCGGCAGGTGGATAGGAAAAATCCAATACATAAATTATGCTGGTATCGGAGGCCGATACCGATACTGGATCAGATCGGCCCCATCCCTAGTACATTTGTATGTATAAAGGCATTTTAAATCCCTTTCCACACTCTTGCAATATTCTAAACAATGTTTCTGAACTCTAAACGCTCTAAAAGAGCACAGAATGCTACGAGTTCCCTCTCTCTGTCTCCGGCTGCTCTCTGCCAGCGCTCTCAGTCACACCCACTTTTTCGTTGCAGTGTGGAGATATGACAAGCTGCAGCGAAAAAGCTTCTCCTGCAGCTGTGGGCTGCACATAGGTGCAGCAGGTGTTAAATAATTTTAAACAATTTATTTTAAATAAAAATTCCATGCTTGTCGTGCGGCTCATCCATCAATCAGCCAATTGTGTGTCATGTCCAATCTTACTTTGAAAATACGCGATAGAGCGACTCTGTGAAAAACTAACCGCAAAGTTACGAGGGACTACTGTACTCTGTCCGAAGCCCTGCACACACATTTCATAGTCCATGAGACACACGCATAGAGCTCCTGGGAAACCTTCCCCCCTGCAGTATATATCACAGCACACGTTTCTTTCCTCCAGAGTTTTCACTCATCCCTGCATCTGCCATTTGGCCACAAATTTATCATGAAGAGAGTTCCACACTTTTCAGCAGGCAGACACCTCCATACACAATGTCTGTGTGATCTCGATCCAGGAGTTTCTGACAATTTGACAAATTTAAATGACACCATTTTTGTCACGCAGTTGAGACTGTGAGAGCTGATTTGGGCACTTGGAATGGAGTATGCATGGTACTTTAACCTCTGTTCTCATTGCCGTAGTTACGTAATGATGTCATTTTGACTTTTTTAGGCATTGCAAGAACTTGTTCTGTGCATAAACACCTACCAGAACTTTATTCTTGCTGGGTATGCATCATTTATTGTGTGATTAGTCAGAACTTCATGGACATCCATCCATCCATTATCTTTACCCGCTTATTCCATTTTGGGTCACGGGGGTCGCTGGTGCCC